CTTATAGTCTTGCTTCTCCTTGAAGACATGCCCTGCGTAAAGGTAGTTTGGGAAGTAGAGTTTGTCCTCGCGGATACCGCAGTAGAAGTTATTCAGTACTGCTTCCCTAGCCGAGGGTGTGGCGTCCTCACACACGGAAGTCGCCTTCAAAATGAGCCAACCCAGGAGGTAATGAGTGTTGCTGGTGAACCCCTCGCCGCTGGCATTGAGACCAAGCAGTTCTGAAAGAGAATGAAAAGCTAACAATAGGACTGCTTCAGAGCGTTTGACTGTGGTAGAAAAGGTGGTGAGTTCGAACCTCGGGCGGTGCACCACTTAGGTCTGGATAAAACTGACTGGCAACGGCTAATAAGCCAGAAATGGCCACTCCAGTCGCCTCAGTCTTTGCCGGCAATACAATCTGCCTAGGACTACTAGCCGCTGTGGGACAGCTGTCAGGAGCTGAGAATAAGGGCCCAAGGCAGAGCGGTAAAAGTGAGTTCCGTTAGCACGGGTGGCAAATCGGGGCATGGCAGACATGATTGGGGATGCACACCCGTAATAAATGCTACTCGCAGGGGGAGTTTAGTGACACGCCTAGACACAGGCTCCTGCAGCGCCAGCCAGTGGTACGCAATCTCACTTCCGTGGTGCTTTACCCTGTCACAACAACGGGCCCAAGGGGTGAGAGGAAAAGGAGAAAGTACAGTAGACGCAGCGCAAGTCAGTAAACACTACACACCAATTCACGCACAACTCATCATCCCACACCACACTGTTGTGGACCTCGTCGAAGTAGAAAAGTGAAACTTTCATGCTAATGGTAGAGAGCAGTATGCAGGCGGTTGGTTCTGGGCGATTTAAGTGAACACTATTCCTAAGCTCTCTTGTAATTTTTTGTCAACGAAATGATTGCCCGAGGACACTGAGGTTACTCTATAATATACTATGCTTTCCTGGAGTATTCAATATGCAGGTGAGCCTCAGTTACCGAGTCTAATCCGTTCCGACACCGAGGTCGTCATGTGAAACACTTATCTTGCGAAGCGTAGCCAATCAGATTGCATCATTTCACTGATTGGCTGAAGGCGGCCGAGGACCCGCACCCTGGGAGCAAGACTCAACGACGGACAAAGGCTCACACGCACGCACTGCCAGCTCGTTAACTGAGCGGATGCTCGTCAATCGAAACAAATTTTCTGCTAGTGGCTAGTTCATTACACAGGAGGGAGGGGGGTTGGTGAAACGCCTAGATGCAGACACACAGTTACTCTCAGATCGCCAGCAGTCAACTCTTCAAGTTTACCAGATAACAGTTTTGGGGTGCCTACCATCTTAACGACTCCTAGTCGTACATGGGCGATATCCTCACGGAATTCTACGCAGATCAATCGACATAAACTTTCAACCAGACTCGGGGGGGTCAAATTAAAAGAGCAGCATTAGGTATTGGTCGTGTGTATCACTAGGCTGTCTGAAAAAAACACCTCATCTCTGGAGCACACACCTTTCG